AATTAGGATAGCGAAAATATTTGCTTTTTTTATAGATTTAGAATTATTTTTAATTCCATGAAATAGTTTTATATCTAAAAATGAAATTCTAATTTATTTTCTGAATCTTCAAATATTATTATATATTTCTTAGATATAAAGAAATGATTTTCTTTATATTTTACTAAATTTAGAATCTAATATAAATTCTTCTCTTCTATATCTTAGAAATATTACTAAAAAATAATTTTATGAATATCCCTAAATCAATTCGATATAGAATTATCAATTCTAATAATAATTCCCAAGATTTATTATGCCAAAAAGCCTTCTGTTTCTTTTCACTAATCATAGAATTATCCATAAATTTGGATTATATTTCATAGCTATATTTCAAAATATATATCGGATTTCGAGATATATTCGGGATATATTTCGCCCTGTCTCGATATAGAAGTAGTAACCGTAGTAGTAATACTAGAAATAATCTTAGTAGTTGGTAATTAGTAGTTTCTCGTTAGTAAGTAGTCATTAGTAGTTAGTAGTCAATTATGACTAGGGAGTAGTTAGTAGATAGAAATTAGTAATTATTATTTTAAATTGTATTAGTAATTGATAATTAATAAATTATTTTTAATAATAATAATTATTATTATATTANNTAGTAGCAGCAGGAGTAGTAGCAGTTGTTGTGGTAGTGATAGTAAGTATAGTAGTGATCGTCGTCATCGAAAGTAGAATAATATAAAAATAGTAGACGAAATAATAATAATAATAGCAATAATAGCAGCAATGGGATCAATATTAATAATAATAAAAAAAAATCAATAAATAATCATTGAGTAATCTATTATATTTCAAATATAATTCAAATATATATGCTCAATATTACCTTCGTCCAGACGATTGAGATATCCCAGGGATATATTTCAAGGATATATTTTCGAGATATATATCGGGGAATACTTCACTCCAAGCCAAGATCATCCCTCCAAGACCAAATAGAAGCCCCCAAAAGACTAACAGACCCAAATTGAACCTATCGGACAACCATACGATAGATTTTTTTTTTGAAAAATTGATAAATTGAAAATAAAAAAGCAAAGATATCCTAGACTCGGCGATTCAATTTCTTAATTCATTCTTCTTATTTTATCTTCGTTATTTTATTCATATAAAATAAAGAATCAAATAATTCAAGAATTTGTTTAAAAAAATAGGCAATTTCTTGGATCGGTCAGAATTTCAACTCAGAATAGATGATTTAGATTATAAAAAAATGCGGAATATTGATCTCGGGCACGACGCTAGAGAATCGAAGTACACTTAAGGAGAAATTAGAAAAGCAAGATTACCGAGTCCAGAAATTTGGAGAGAATCAAATTCGGAAGAAAAGAAAAAATATCTTTCTATTAGAATCCTATATCTTTTTCAAAAGCATTGAATTCCTTATACTAAATAATATATGGCTCAAGATTTTTAGAGATGCTAAAGCGCCAAGAAAATAGCTCAGATAATTATGATCTTCAATTAATATCACTATATCCGAATAGATAAATATATAATTCGAATTTCTCAATCTACTAATTTCTAAATAATTATCATTCCATTCTTTTATAATCTGAAAATTTTGAATTAAGAAATCCAGAATATAATCAAATTATAGAATATTTTTTTAAAATTCTTATAAATTAAAAAAAGATTTCGAAAATCTTCTTATGAAAAAAATTCTTTATATTTTATATATAAAAAATATCAATATTTAATTTTAATTTTAACGATAATAATTCTATTTAGAAAAACAAAATCATCATCCCGAAAATAGAAAATACATATTAATCCATTTAGAATTCAAATAAAATAATCAGAAAATCTTATTCAAATTTCTTTTGTTCCCCATCTCTTAATTCCTTCCCAATTAATCCCCATCCCTCAAAATGAGTGCCGTGGGGGGGGGAAAAATCCTTTATAGAAATCTAAAACTAAATCTCAAGATCCCATGAAGAAACCTGGCTTCTTCTATTAGATTCTCTATAAAGAATCTCCAAATCCTTTCCTGCCATTAGTGCATCTAACTCTCCCTCCCCCTCCTAAGACCCCCCCCCCTCCCCCTTCTTGCCTTCGCTTTTATGTGACTCTATTTGCTTAAATATAATCTTTTCTCCTCTCCCAATTCCCGTCCGCTCCACCAACGGCGCCTTCAAAATTCCAATAATTCGTTAATCTCCTTTATCTGTGTCCGGGCCGAAACAAATAATACGAAGCATTTAAAATATAATCTAAAATATAATATAATAATACTTCAGATATTTCTCATTATTTATAATTATTATATATTATCGAAAATAAAATGAATATTTATACCAAAATTAAAGAGAACTATTAGTACTAATATTATAATCCTATATCATAACTATAAAATTAAATGAATATAAAACCGAATTTCAGATATAATATATAAATTTTTTGACCGGAATTATGGGGCTCTAAATTACAAATCTCAAAACCGCTTGTATCGCAGAGTACACTGAAACTTCATATTCTCAGACTCCATCTATTACAGAACTTACGAATCCAAATGCATACTACTCATTTGTTATATTTCTCTTACAAAAATGCATCTTGAAAAAATTCTCCATATCTAAAAAGCTAGAGTATTTTGTTTTTCTCGACTTGCTCGCTATAGCAAGCTTAAGGTTCAAAACCACAAAAATCTGCTGTACTCAAGTATCAAGTCATTCAATCCATATGCAATCCATTTCAGAACTAACGCGCCAGAAAAGAAGAACAGGCATGTCATATATCATCATTTATATAACCTGGGAGCATCTTTTCAAGAATCCAAAGTGAAGCAACGCCGCCACTCCAGCGCAGCCAGAATGAAATGGTGATGAATAAGGTTTTGATAACTCAGCCGCAAGCATGAGACATTGGCAGAGCACCACAACTTTCTGAACGCCTCTTCATGCGAGTCTACTGCTCATTATTGGAAAGAACCGAAGAAAAAGTTACCTGGCTTGGTGGCACACAGTGCGCAGCCTCGACCAAAGTAGCTTTTTCCATCCTCCATCTCCCCTGTTGTGGTCCCCTTCTCTGACCCTCATCGAACCTGCAGTCAACCTGTTCTCTTTCATTCTGGCCGCAACCCTGGCCATACAAGCTTCTCGCCCGGCCCAGGGGTCCCAACACACCTGATCAAACCTGTTGCTGGTCCCCTCGCCGCCGGTGTTCTTCCGCACCCTCACACTCATGATTTTCCTCTTCAAGATTCTGTTTCGAGGGTCCTGCGCTTGATTTTGCCGAGCAAATCATGCTGCCAGAGCTTGAATCAATGAGTCCTTCCACACTTTGACGATTCTGAAGTCGCGCTCCAACACCACGAATTTTTTCCTGTCCTGGCAAGAACATTCGATTCAATCGCTTCGGTGGCGGACGCTCAACCTCCCCGTCCTTGATGCATGGTCTCACAGTTTCGACCTCGTAGAAAACGCTGGTGCCACGAGCCAAGCTTCGAACCTGAGAAGTCGTTGTATCTATCTGTGTCGAGTCGCATCCAAATCCCTTGGGATGCAGCGTAGCGTGAGCAGACACGCATGCTGGTCGGGAGGGAAAGCTGCTGAAGAAAGTATGAGGACGCGTTTTGAGCAAAGCGAGCTTCGGAAATCGCAGCTTAAACTTCGTAAACATGCTGAATGTGCGCTAGCCCTGTCCGGAGTTTTTCCTGGGTGCGGGCTGCCTTGAATTGAAGTGGCGCCAAAGACGCCATCAGAATTGGCCTCCGCATGGCGCAAGTTAGCGAATCTCAATCGGCGTGATTTGCGCTAAACTGCTGTTGGCAAGAGTGCTGACCAATGATTCCTTTTCTCGACTCAAGCAAAAGGCACGAACATCTCGCGTTTAATAACCTGTCTGGGGTGTATGACAAGCAGCACAATGCGGTAACATAACTAACACTGTTCATGCATTCAGAAGGCCGTGAAGCGGGAACTGAAAATTCAGGTTTTGGATGGTTTTGGGCTGAGCGCCCTCCATGCAATCACTATTCACGACCCTGGGCGTATCAAACCGTATGCATCCGCAACGCTTCAAAATGTCAACCAGGGTGTCACGGAGTCGCCGAACGACTCCAAGAACAAATGTCCAAGTTCGTTCTCTTTGAAAGCCACGCCTCATCCGAGATTGCAAACTCCGCCACTCCACATAGCCAGTCTGGCGCTGAGTTTTGAGATTCCAGTAGCTATGGCTGGAAACCCTCCACAGGCAACCGATCAACGTCAGGCTTTGGGCTGGAACTTTAGGGCCGACGAGATGTCACAGGTTCGCATGGATTCACAGAAAGAACCAGGTTCAAAGTGGCAGCCAGAGCCGAAACTCGGGAACACGGAGCAGCGCAAGGCACTGCACGAGTTCATGTCGGATCCAAACCCCAACTTAAAGGGTCATAGCAAGCAGCATTCCGAAGCTGGCGACCTGGCCTGGCTTTGGTGGCAAAGCCGGTTCACCTGCGCATAGAAGAAGCTGACCCTGAGGCTCAGGGTGCTTAAGGTAACTAGCATGGGCATGCATGGGTATTGGCTTCAATACTCTGAGCTTGGAAGTGGTTTTCAGTGTTTTCATTCGACATGTGCACGGATCACTGGCCACATCCATGCGCGAAGTTCCCACACTTTTAGCGCAGCCTCTTAGCGACAAGAGTTGCAGCGTGTGGATCTCCATGGGATCAAAATCAACCGAACAGGTTTACAGCAAGCCAGGGCAACAAGCAGTGTCGGCAGTTGCACCTGCTGAGAAGGCAGTACGGAGGCGCAACACATGCACGGGCCAAGCATCGATTCTTGCAAGCAGATTAACTTTGCACTCCTGCTCAATTGTTCATGGCTGCGGTGGATACGCTAAATCGAAAATGGCTACCGTAGCGCCTGTCCTTGTAAGACTGTAAATTTCTGCTTCCGTAAAGCTGTCCGGTGGAAAATGTCCTGTATTAGTTGAGTTGTTGGTCTTCGATTGTGTCTGGCCTGTGAAAGTTGCTGCCTTCGGCGTTCGTAAACTGTCCTTTCTGCGGTAGCCCTTTCTGCTAATATTACCGAACACCTAGAAAGCCCTGCTGTTCAAACACCCGAGCCTTATGACAGCCCACTCGCAATTTGCGCTTGGTGCAGCTGTAAGCCCTTACTCGGCACACACTAGGATCGATAGGTATGTACTGCACAGAAAGCAGGGAACCGATCCTCGCGAAGCGAGAACTATTAACGCTGCACCTCCACCGCCCATCTTCGCATTTCTGCGAACTTTATCGAAGCATAGTCCGACTTCGAAGGCGCCACGGGCCTCGAATGAAGAAGAACCACAACTTAAAAAGCTCAATGGCATGAAGACTGCAGGAACATGCCTGAAGCGCGTGTAAGCCGAGACCACATGCAGAAGCCACCGCATTGAATGTACACAGGTGAACACGCCAAGTGCACAGGAGCCAAACCGCCGGAATGAAGTTCTGCCAAAATACGCGGCCAAGGGTCCGTACACAAAACGAAGGAACTGCTGTGGTTTTGGCATGCTGGGGTTTCTATGACCGGGATGCCGCATGGTCCAGGCGGCTTGTGTCGAAGACGGCAAAAGATGCATTGCTGGATTTTCAACAATGTTGCAGCAAATTGAGTGGATGTAAATGCTCGTGTCAGGACCTTTGTGTAGTAAGGTTGAAACCTGCAACGGCAGTTTGACAGGTCTTGCTTGCTGCATGGGTGCTAAAGCACATGCAGCAGTAACAAGGTTCGACAATCCTCAGAACCTTAAGCCTTCAACCTTCAAAGCAATGGAGAGTTGACATTCTGAAAGCCGTTAGAATGCCGATTCTACAACCGGTTTCCATTCCCAGACACGAGTTGTTGCGGCGAGCAATTGGTTTTCGAGTTGGGTTTGCTGTCGCTGGGCGGCCGGCCACGTCTTGGGAGTGCAAACCAACAGCCAATCCTCGACCTCTGTGGCACGAGATAGCAGGCATGCTATGGGAGCCTGGTATTGAAGCTCGGAATATCAACGCTCGACCAAACTCGCAAAAGCCGGCCGCCTCAGGCATGCCAAATTCCTTCAGCACGTGCACCTCCACCTCGTACCTGGCAAGGCTGAAGTCGGCAGTTCGTTCGCCTGCTATAGGGCAAGAACATTGGGCATGGATCCCAAAGCAACCCTCGCAACACATCTATATAAGCCAGCCAAACTAGCAATGGGGTGGGTCTGAAACCTCAATTGCTTCACACAGCGTGCGCTGACGATAAAGCACACCTCACAGTTGCAAAAGATGCAGCCTAGCATCTAGAATCTAGCACCGTCATGACTATTATGGCGCATGCTCATGTGCCAGACTATGTTCCCGAGGGGCTTCATATCCTGTCTTGCATTCACAGGGTTAAATGCAAACTATGCCTAAACGATGTAAAACAGAAATGTCTGCTTTCAAGCAGCCAAGCTTGGCCCTGAACCCTGCGCTTCTGTTTCGAAGCCCTTGGGCCTCAACTTGCGCTTGCCCTGATACAGGACTGACTGTTTGAAGCGTGCAATCGGGGTTGCTTGACTCTCCTCCAACACTTAAGCTGGATGTCAAAGCTCAAATTGCCAGCCTGTCTTGCACCGCCAGTAAGAACATGGGGGCACCCTGAGTTGGCAGGACATAGGAGAGCATAGTGTTGCGCAGGACTTGGGATGTCGCGCTTCTGAGCTTGTAGTTATCGGGCCTTTCTACCCGCCCCTAACTGCCAAACTGGCGGGGGGGGGGGTGAAACACTGA